CTCGGAAAGAAGAAATGCGCCAGTTGGTCTCGAAGAGTCTTTCAATAAATGCAAATATAACATCTCCGTGTTGTTCTTGTGTATCGTGTGGACTGTACAGTGTGGGGTGTGGGGTGTATAGTGTGGGGTGTGGGGTGTATATTCTGGGGTGTGGGGTGTATATTCTGGGGTGTGGGTGTGGGGTGTATATTGTGAGGTGTGGGGTGTATATTATAGGTTGTAAATTGTGGGGTGTGGGGTGTATATTGTGGGATGTGGGGTGTAAATTGTGGGGTGTGGGGTGTATATGCAGGTATATTTGCGTGTGAGTTTCATAGAGCGTCAAACAGTTAGCTGCGACCTCTGCGGCCAACTTGTTCGATTCCCCCTGTTGCTTCCTTGTCGCATGCTGCATTTACTCTGTTCTTCTTGTCTGTTTCCGAGCTTCTTAGCAGACTCGGTAAGTTTTAACAAACCCAATATATTTAATGCATGCATGCATTCAACCCCTTATCTCCCTGCCTCTATCGATGGACAGCAGCAGCAGCAGCAGCAACAGCAACAGCAACACAAGCAGCTGTAAACATAGCCGCCGCAGCAGCAGCAGCAGCAGCCGTTGCAGCAGTAGCAGCGCCAGTAGCACCACCTGCAGAAGCACCAGTAAACGTAGCTGCAGCAGCAGCAGCAGTAGCCCCATGAGCAACCGCAGCAACATTAGGACCAGCAGCAGCAGACGCAGCAGCACGAGCAGCAGCAGCAGCAGCAGCAGCAGCAGATGTTTGATCCTTCTTTGCCCCATGCATAATACAATAAGACACATCTTTTAGTATTTTGTTTGCACGAGTCTATCTTCATGCATGTATAATATATATAATATATATCTATATATATTTATATAATATATATATTTACATATATTTATATATATATTTATATGTATTTGTTTGCGTTTTTAATTAAAGTTTTGTAGAAGACCTTCACTACGTGGGTGCCCTGTCTGCTGGCCGTACTGCCCGATAGACGGGGACTTCAGCGATAGGCTGCAGCCTCCTGTTGAACACACGACGAAGTTTGATTGGCCGTATGCAGCAGCAGCAAAGAGAAGTGTGCAGCTCGCAAGGGCTCTTGCAAGCACTGTATCTTCTTTTGCTGCTCCGGTACAACTGATGACTAATGCTGCTGCTCATGATGCTGCTGATACTGCTCCTCTTGCTCCTGCTGCTGCTGCTGCTGCTGCTGCTCCCCCTGGAGGTGCAGGGGTTGCTGCAGGAGCCGCCATAGCAAGAAGCATCAGCAGCAGCAGCAGCAGCAGCAGCAGTAATGGATTGCTGCAGCAAGTACCCATTCGCTCACCGTGCATCTGGCCGGTGCCGGTGCAGCTGCCGCTGAGGCCTAGAACAGCAGCAGCAGCAGCAGCAGCAAAGCTGCTCAGCAACCCCAAACAAAGCAACAACACGCAACAAATCCACACACACACCCAGCAGCCACACAGCGAACAGCTGCAGCAACAGCAGCAGCAGCAGCAGCAGCTATGGAGGCGGCAGCGAGTTGAGTGCAGCCGGCATCACGAATTGTCTCCTTCTGTCTTCATTTCTACTTACCGCAGCAGCTCTGCTTGCTGCTGCCCCACACTTTGGGTGTCTGAAGATATCCTTAAAGAAGCAGAAGATATAGTCGATCTCTACTTCAATCCTACAACTACAACTCCTGCAGCAGCAGCAGCAGCAGCAGCAGCAACTCAAGCAGCAACTGCAGCAGCAGCTGCAGCAGCAACTGCAGCAACAGCAATACCAACAGAAAGAACAATACCAGCGGAAGCAGCAACAACAATGCAAACAGCTGCACAAGCAGCAGAAGCAGCAGAACCAGCAGCACCAGCAGCGACTGCAGCAAAAGCAGCAACAGCAACAACAGCAACAGCAACAGCAAGAGCAACAACCGAAACGGAAACAGCAGCAACAGGAGCAACAGCAGCAACAACAGCAGCAGCAGCAACAGGAGCAACAACAGCAGCAGCAGCAACAGGAGCAACAACAGCAGCAGCAGCAACGGCAGCAGCACGCTCACCCGGCTCAACACTTCTTACGGGGGGTCAACGGACTTCTTTCAATTCCCCTTTGCCTCTCCCAAACGTGGGTTCGAGCAGCAGCAGCAGCAGCAGCAGCAACTGCAACAGTAGCAGCAGCAGCAACTGCAGCAGCAGTAGCGGGAGCAGCACGGAGGAGGGTATGCGTTTCTTTTTCTCGGGTTGCGGCAGCAGCACATCGTCTGGGAAGCAGCAGCAGCGGGGTTTGCTGCTGAAAGGAGACCAGGAGACACCAATGGAGATCGTAGAAGTAAATGATGTTGAGTCTTTTGTTGGCTGCGACTACGACGAACCCCCTGCTGCTGCTGCTGCTGCTGCTGCTGCTGGTGCGGGGGGTCCTTACGGCATCTCTACGCCGCGCCTTTCTTCTTCAGGCTGTGGACCAGCATCATCATCAGCAGCAGCAGCAGCTCGAGCAGCAGCAGCAGCAACAACAAACAAGCTTGCTGCTTTGCATGTAGATAATGAAGATATAAGTTTTCTTCGCAGCAGCAAATATGCTGCTGTTGCGCGTCGTATATTGGCTATTATTGGGAGCAAGAGATTCGGTCAGAATAATATTCCCTGGGAACACTTATACGATCCCGATCCCGAAACCCCACACGATCCCGATCCCGATCCCCGACACGATCCCGGAACCCCACACGATCCCGATCCCGATCCCCGTCCAGGTGCGCACGCATACAGAGACAGCCGCACAGTGATGCAGCAGCAAGTGTTGTTGCTTGTGGGGTTTCTGATTATTGGGTGTATATATATTTATGCATTCATTTGTTAAGGCGCAAGTTTGCTGTCTCTTCTCCTCCCTATCTCTTCCTTTTGTCTCAGGTGCTGCCGCTGCTGCTGCTGCTGCTGCTGCTGCTGGTGCTTCACAAGCTCGTCGCGTGCGTTTTGACCCCACAGGAGACAGCAGCGGGTCCCCTTCGCAGCAGCAACAGCAGCAACAGCAGCAGGATCAGCAGCATGTGTCGAGCAACGGACGAGGCTCCTCTGCTTTGAAGTCTTGCCTCAGCAGCAGCAGCAGAACCAACACCAACAGCAGCAACAGCAGCAGCAGCAGCAACAGCAAACGACGTCGGTGCGAGAAGATAATTGTTGCTGCTTCTTTTTGGGAGTCTCTCTTTCTTCTAGGGCAGTTCTTAGAGAGACATAATATTCGCTGCGGGTACTTCACTGAGCGCGTAAGGAGACAAATTAATGCAGAAGGAGACACTAAAAGAGACAGAACACAAACATATAGAGAACATAGAGAGATAATATAAATAAATAAATAATATATATAAATATATATATATATAAATAATTATATATATATGTTTAGATGTACTTATTTATATTTCTCTATGTTTATATTTTTATATATTCATACAGTGTAAGTGTAGATGCATCATATACATATATATATATATATGCTTGTATATTAATATAGTTTGTTTGTACATACACGATTATATATATATATATATATATTTGTATACTAATAGATTTTGTTTGTATATACATTATAAGTATATACATATATATAATTTATTTGAAGTGTATTTGTATATAGATTATCTGCATATGTGTAAATATATTAATTGTTTACTGTATATACACCGTAAATGAAGTATAAATCCTGCTTTGTCTGTTAAATGATTGAATGCTTTGTGTGTGTGCAGACAGAAAGAAAGACAGCAGTTGATGCTTTACGTAGTTTCGCAGAAGGAGAAGAGACAAAAGTGTTGCTGCTGTCTTCTGCTGTTGGAGCCTTAGGCCTCGATTTAAGCTGCGCATCGCATGTGCTGCTGCTCGATCCCCCCACCGATCCCAACTTAGAACAGCAAGTGAGAGCAAAGTGTCTCCTTTGATGTCTCTTCTCTGTCTTAACTGTCTCCTTTCCTGTCTTCTGAATACTGTAAGTGTCTCCTTTGCTATCTTCTGAGTACTGTAAGTGTCTCCTTTGCTGTCTTCTGTTCATTTTAAGTGTCTTCTTTGATGTCGCTTCCTTATCTTAAGTGTCTCCTTTGATGTCGCTTCTTTATCTTAAGTGTCTCCTTTGATGTCTCTTCTTTATTTTAAGTGTCTCCTTTTCCTGTCTTCTGTTTATTGTCTGTGTCTCCTTTGCTGTCTTCTTGTTATTTTAAGTGTCTCCTTTGCTGTCTCGTTGTTATTTTAAGTGTCTCCTTTTCCTGTTTTCTGTTTGTTCTAAGTGTCTCCTTTGCTGTCTTTTGTTTTATTTTTTTTGAGGGTTTCATCTGCTGTCTTTTGTTTTATTTAAGTGTATCTGTTTTGCTGTCTTCTCTTTATTTTAAGTATCTCCTTATCTGTCTTTTGTTTTATTTTTCAGTGTCTCCTTTTATTCTTTTTTGTCTCCTTGTCTGTCTTTGCTTTTTATTATCTTTCAATATATTTCTGTCTCCTTCTCTGTCTCTTTGCTCTGTATTAATTTTTTAATATTCGCTGTCTCCTCTGTCTCTCTTCTTTTTATTTTTTAAGTATATATTGCTGTCTCCTTCTTTATCTCTCTTCTCTTTTTAAAATATATTACTGTCTCCTTCTCTATATCTTTATTTTTATTGTTTATTAAATATTTTACTGTCTCCTTCTCTATATCTCCTTTCATTTTTAATTATATTACTGTCTCTT